GATCTTCTGGATATGTTAATAATTATATATATATGTGCAGAACATCAAAGGAGGAAAGGAGGTTCTTTGATAGGGAATTATAGGGAGAGTAATGGGCAAAAGAGCAATGTGGCACGTAGTTTCACCTTCAAGGAACTCGCAATAGCCACCCAAAATTTTAAGGAATCCAATCTACTAGGAGAAGGTGGGTTCGGGAGCGTGTACAAAGGAGTCTTCGACTCCCAATTGGCAAACGATCCAAGCATATCATATAGCTAGCTAGTTTGATATTTTTGTTGCATGTGGTGTTATATATATATATATATATATATATATATATATATATATATATATATATATATATATATATATATATATATATATTTGCTTGTTTTCCTTTTAGGTGCAAATGGCTTCTACCTTTGCTGGCATGTTTTCAGCTGGTTCATTGGCTGCTCCTAGCAGTTGCATGAAGGACAACAGGCTTGCAATTTCTTCAAGCTCATTTGGGAGGAGGAAAAATGTTGTTCTATGCAAAACACGCCCTTGCCAAATAACAGCTGCAGCCAAGGAGTTGTATTTCAACAAGGATGGATCAGCTATTAAGAAACTCCAAGTAAGTATTGTTTTGACTATGCTTGTGGATTTTTTTTATTTTATTTTTTTGTGTGAATTTTTCTGGACTGTTGTTAATGTTATTTTTTGCTGTTTCAGATTGGTGTTAATAAGCTTTCTGATCTAGTTGGGGTCACATTTGGTCCCAAGGGAAGGAATGTTGTTCTTGAGAGCAAGTATGGTGCTCCAAAAATTGTCAATGATGGAGTTACTGTGGCTAGAGGTATATATGATCTAAACCAGTACTCTGTTTTTTTAGTAATGGTGCATTCTGCTTTATTATGTTTAGCAATTAAGTTTATGTTATCAAACTCAGGTGTTTTCCACATTTACGAATTGTACATTAAATTTTTTTTCCGAGTAATAAAAATGGATTTGGTTGGCACTGTAACAAATTATCCCTATTGTTTTCCATTTACTGATGGGTATTGGTGATATATTTTTTGTCTGTCCCATTATTTTTCGACACTGTAGACATAGATATATTTCTGTCCTTTTTTTGGTTCTGAAGTAAGTTAAGTGCAATAACTCTGATTATAATAATCTCTTATAGGTTGAGCTGGAGGACCCTGTGGAGGGAACATAGGTGCTAAGCTGGTAAGACAAGTTGTTGCCAAAACCAATGACTTGGCAGGTGATGGGACAACAACATCTGTTGTTCTTGCACAAGGCCTAATTGCTGAAGGCGTCAAGGTATATATGAAAAATTCATAGGTAGCTAAGTTGCTTCAAATTATATGGACATGCTGTAAGTCATGGAACTCTTTTTATACAAATTGATATTCTGTTTGCAAGTTGTTGCAGCTGGTGCAAACCCTGTCTTGATCACTAGAGGAATTGAGAAGACCACAAAAGCTTTAGTGTCTGAGCTGAAAAACATGTCAAAAGAGGTAAAGAAGCTAACACTTGTGCCAAGTGATTGTTATTGTCCAGCTTATATTTGTTTACCAGAGATGTAGTAGTAGTAGTAGAAAGGGTTAAAAGGCAAATGGCAAACCAAAACTGTGGGTTACATTTCACCATACTTTGTAACTGATAGTGAGAAAATGGCTGTTGAATATGAGAACGGTAAGGTAAGTGGTTTTCTTTGAACTTCAATGTTCATTAATTGTTTAAATGCATGTCTCTAGTACGGTTTGTTGATATGTAATGATGAGTATGTCGGTGCAGTTACTATTGGTTGACAAAAAAATAACAAATGCAAGGGATCTTAATAATGTATTGGAAAGTGCCATCAGAAGTGGTTTTCCCATTTCCCATTCTGATAATTGCTGAAGATATTGAACAAGAAGCTCTTGCAACCTTGGTGGTGAATAAACTTAGGGGTGCATTGAAGGTTGCTGCTCTCAAAGCTCTTGGTTTTGATGAATCTGGAAGAACAGGAAGGGCAGGTGAATTGTTTATCTTATTGTTTCATGAATAATCTTTTTTTTTTTGGGAATTTTTATTTTCCACGAGTTGCTATATTCTCCAGGAATTACTGGTGTTGTTGTAATGCTTTATGATCCTAAGATGTCCAACATTTCTAGGATAGAAAGGGAATCTGGTGTTAAGTTTGGATGCGGAAACAATTGCTACAAAACCTTATTAGCATGCATGTTTAGCTAATATTTTGACAAATGTATTTTTGATGGTGAAACAATTGCTACACCTTGATTTAAATGATTGACTAATGTTTAATTTCCTTAAATTGTTAATTGTATTGTAGAATTTAATATTATGGTGCTGAAATTTGTATAATTGTAACAGGTTTAATTCATTTGATATTTGTAGAATTTTAAATTTTTATTTTTTTTTGTTAGTAAATCTTACCGACCACCTAGTGGGTGGTCGGTAATTCAAATTTTTTTAATTTTTTCTTTGTAAATCTTACCGACCACCGGTGGATGGTAATTCCGACCAATTACCGATCACTAGTGGTAGGAAATATGCTCTCTTATCCGACAACTAATAGTTCCGACCTCCTAGTAAAGAAGTCGGTATTTCCGACCACCTTAAGTAGTTGTCGGTAACAGCGAGGGTGTTTTTTCCGAATCCATAAAGTGGTCGGAAAGTTGGTCGGAAACTGCATTTCCGACCGGAAATCTCCCTTTTCCGACCACTTTTTGGTGGTCGGAAAAATGCAGATTTCCAACAGTGACTTGACACTTGACACTCGGCACTCGGATTATAATTAGTTTGTTTTGGTAGCCAGTCATCGATCTTGGTGACCAGTCAACTTTGATAGTGGAAGAATGAATTAAAGTGGCAATCACGAAATTAGACAAGTCAATCTATATAAACGATTTTCCTAAATATCATTTTATTCCCCAAATCATCTCCACTACCTAAATATCTTTATATTGCCTAAATCCTTTTATATTTTCTAAATTTTTCTACATCTCATAAAATATTCCACTCTATCATAATTTCATAAATACTCGATTACCATAAGCATATTACCTTACCAAATGCAGTGTTATTCTTCTACTATTTTTTTTAGGTATACCAGGAGTTTCCACTGTCGAACATAGTGACTAATCCCCTCGCTGAGTAGTAGGCACATCTTTTGGGTGTGCTTATTCTTCTACTACAAAAGGCCGTATTCAATACAAGAAATGGAGATCAGTCAATCATCTTTACCCCTCTACCTCTACATCTCTCCACAGAGAACACAAATTGTAGGTACATGTAGTTGGAATTTTGGCTTGGCACCATCCAAAAAGGCCAGTGGTTTTCATCTTTCGGTTTCCAATTCACATTAAAAATATTGTGTCCCCTTTATTTTTCATTTTCATTATTTATCTTTTCTTTATTCAATGGATCATGTTAGTCCGTCCATTGACTAGCTCGATAGTTGTAAAACCAACATATAAAGACTATTATATTCTTCATTTATTTACTACAATAAAATAGTCACATACCATGGAAGTAGCTTTCACAATTGTGTCAACAGTTAAGAATATATGTGGCTGATGTTTTCTTTTGTATTGGTTCTAATTGTATTCCTTTAGTAGTTATTACAATTTCTTGAAATGGCATTTTCCGTCCACTTTTCCGACCATCCAGAAAAGTGGATGGTAAATTAATTTTTATTCTAAATTATTGACCACCCTATAAGGTGGTCGGAATCTGAATAGTATTTCCGACCACTCTCAAATAATGGTCGGAAATGTTATGACCATTATTTTTTAACAAGCCAGCTTTGACAAGTTTTGGCGGAAGTCAGATTAATTTCGTTTTAATTCAATGTGTATTTTACTGACGATTCTTTAAACCGCTGCTAAAAACACAACTAAAACAATTGCGGTTCTAGTCCTCTATCTCCTCTCGTCCCTACAACAAAACTAAAATCTAAAAGGCCAATCTAAAATCTAAAATCTAAAATCCCTAAAACAAAAATCAAATCTGAAATTCCCTGCGACCTGCGTGGCTCACCTCCGTCTCCTCTAGTACTCCTTGCTCGGCTGCTCCGGCCTGGCGACCTGCGTGTCGGCGTCTCCTCCGACCTCTTCTCTCCACCACCACGGCGTCACGGCTCCACCGCAGCACCGCTGAAGTGTTAATCTGCTCCACTGCTACAGCCTCCAGTACTCCCTGAGTTCAGCAGTTCATACGACCTCCGTCTCCACCGCCACTAACCTCTGTCTCCACCGCCATTGTAAGGTTTGTAGACTCCTTTGAAAATCTCCGTAAGCAGAATAATGGTGATACTCCCCTCTTTCTGCACTTGTGATTGTTGGATTAATTTTTGAATATTATATGTTTTCTATGATACAATGTGATAATTCCTATTTGTGATTACAGAGAATCGTATATATTACTATTTATGATACAATGTGATTTACAACCTCCAAATCTGACTTCTCCCTAAGGAAACCTCCGTATGTATTTGAAATTTTGTAGTCAAATCAAAATGAGATTAATTTTTGAATTTTTTTTATATGATGGAAGGTTTATGGCTTTGGCAGTTTTACTGCATTTTTTATTCTCTTGTTTTACTTAGATTACAACTCCCTAAGAACTCAACATTATTTTACAATTCAATGCCTTGTAAACAGGTCCAAATCCACCCACTCCAATGTCTCATCAACAATCTTCTTCATCAACTGCAGATTGGTCATTGGTTGGATTATCATTTCCTTAGGTAATTTACATTTGGTGAAACCATGGAAGATTCCTAGTTAAGAATACACATATGTTTTATTGTTTTGAAGGACTATGCTTTAATTGTAATAATGGTTATATTGCTCCAGAGTCTTCTTAAGCTAAGGAGCTGTAGATTGCAAATCGACATTACTTTCTTCTCTGTGTTAAGTTGTCAGGGGTCTGCCATATAAGTAGTTTATCTCGTTTAATGCGTAGTTTGCTTCTTTTTCGGCATTCATATAGCGTGTAATTTGGTGATCAATTATTAAGGCAACTCTCTTCATTGATGGTGGTACTGAGATTGCTTTTACTGAGGATGTTGGAGCTGATTTTGAGGCTCTTGGATGGCATGTTATCTGGGTGAAGAATGGTAACACTGGTTATGATGAGATCCGTGCTGCCATCAAGGAAGCAAAGGCTGTTAAGGACAAGCCCACAATGATCAAGGTTTGACTCTTTTGCTCAAAATTGATTTTTACTGAAAAAGTGATTCTATTGTCTCCCAAGTTTGTTCTTTGCTAAACTCCAATGCTTGTAGGTGACAACAACCATCGGGTTTGGCTCACCAAACAAGGCAAACAATTACAATGTTCATGGAAGTGCATTTCGATGTGCCTGATGATGTGAAGAGGTACTACTCCATCATATACAATTTGAACACTAATATGAGCAGAATTACAGTTAGATAATATGCTGATGATTATTTCCTGCAGCCATTAGAGCCGCCATGTCCCAGAGGGTGCAGCAATTGAAGCCGAGTGGAATTCCAAATTCGGTGAATATGAGAAGTACCCAGAAGAAGCTGCAGAATTGAAGGCCATCAAGTTCTTGTTTTTCACTCTTTGCATATGAGGTTGGTCTGTTGTTTTTCACTCTTTGCAAGATTTTGTTTGTTTGGGTGATCTTTTTCATTTAATGGTTTTGCTTGTTTGAATTTATGTCCATTTTCACTGCTAGATTTCCTAGTGTTCTTTATCAATGAATAAATGATAGTGCTGTCCTTGTTTTTAATTTGGGTTGCAGTACATTTTCTTTTTATTTCTCTGGGTTCAGATCTCTATGTTCTTTTATTTTTCTCTCAGTTTCTGCAACAACTTATATGTAGGCTTTGTTATAGTCATATGGACAATCCTAGTCCTAGAATCATGTTTGCTTGTTAGTTATTATAGATGTCTTAAATATGTCTGTGACTTGTAGAGGTCTAAGCTTAAATTCTAAATTTTATCCTTCTTATTCATAAATATATTTGCCTTTTAGTGCATGATGCCTTGTTTATATCCACTTAGCTTGCAGGAGTCTAATAGCAATTCTTAATTGATCTTGCAGATGTCGTACTGGATAACATATGATTACCCATCAGATGTCAGGTAAAAAGTTAAGCGTAAATGGGGAACTGACTGGAAGGGTCAAACACAGAAATGGTTAGTATATGCAATTTCCCTTCAAGTTGCTTAAGCATAAATCAGTTCCTTACCATATGTTGTTGCATTTGAACGATATGTTCTTGACAATTGTTGCTACCTGGGATTTGAAACTCTTTAGGTTCCTCTTGTAGTTTACTGGAAAGGAGGAAGAAATCAACTTTCTGGGTGATGGGACTGAGAAGCCTGAATTTGGGAAGTGGGCATGGATCTCAGCAAACCAAGTTGTTGATCATGTTAGTGCCCCCTTTAATCCTGAGGTTTTTTTTTTTTCTTTTTTTTTTTTTTTTACGAAGAAAACTCATAAACACTATCCGAGAGTGAGAAGTTAGACAAAACTCATTCTGTGACCCAAAAGACCACAAGGAAGAGGTTTCTTATTTTTGCCTCAATCGCTGGCCAGTGTTCATTTACAATTTTTTATTTTCTTGAAATATTTTCATTTACCATGTTTATCTTTTCTCTAATCTTTCTATTTTAGTTTGACTGATATATTTTCATTAGCTAAGCACTTTGCTCCCTAATGCAGCAAAGGTATGAAGTGCCACCCAATTTTAGAAGGTTATTGAGTTCAAAGATGAGAAGACTATGCAGAGTTCTGAATGTTCGTCTGCAGGTAAGTTTATTTCACACATTTGGTTATAATTAGCCTTTGCCTGTGTTTGAATTATGTACCTCTGTTTGTGATGTAGGCTGAACCAGAGACAGATGAGGTGTATGCACAAATAACTTTGCTTCCTGAAACAGATGTAAGTTTTAACTCCTTTTAAAACTTTAAGCTTTTGTACTTGTGTGGGTTCACAAGATGTTGATTATTAGTTTATGAGATCAGTTAATTGTCATTGCTATTGGTCATTGTTCTTTCCAGTATTGGTCATTATACATTGGATTATACATGCTTCTACATTGGAGGTTCCCTTCAACTGCCTCTATGTTGCCCTGCTATTCTAGCTATTACTTTTCATTTAGATCAACATATATGAGCAAATCTTACTGTAGTTATACTGTCTTAAATACGTTGGGGGAGAAAGAATCATTATGCAATCAAAATTGCTTTATATTACTTGTTGACCTAAACACTTCACACTTTTTGTTGAAAGTTCTAGATGTTATACTATCCATAGAGTTTGATATTAACACATGATATCCTGATTATAGAGTCGAATTTTATCTTCCCGAATGTCTTCTCCATTTTCTTGCATAGTTTGACTGAAGTGATTTTGTAGAACTCAATATATGAATCAGTCATTAGGCCATCTTGGGCTCATTTCCTAGCGTTATAAGTGATTTCATTCTCTACTTGCATTCTCCTATACTTTGTAAGGATATTTTGGTAACGTCATGCTTTTGATGTTTTGATGTATTATCAGCAGCAGTCCAAAGTTCCACAATGCGACGATCGTTGTCAAACAAGATATCTGCTCCTCTTCACTACCATGCATCAACTGGACCAGTAATCATAACAAGTGCAGAAACTGTTGATTATAGTCTGAAACCATATTCAGGAATTCCACAGGTATAGTGAAAGTTTACGACTTATATTATCAGTAGAAAGACTATGTTTTGGTCTAATTGGTTGGATTTTTAAATCTTTTAGCTTAATAATACTCCAGAATATATTCCTTAATTTTCATTAGTTTTTAGTTTTTACTCTTGTGAATTTTGTAGAAAAATATGGTTCTTGAGAAACTGGGGGGAGTTCATTATGCACACTCGGTTCGTTGCTCTCATGAAGTGAAAGCTGCTAACCAAACGAATCAAATATCAGCGTCTTGTATCATGCCGGTTCAGCACTCCTTTATTTCTGCTGCTGGACAGAACCAGCTCGGTTTTGTTCAAAATCCCGTGTCTATGGTTCCTGCTAGCGGTGCTGTAGTGGGCACTACTGAATTACGGTATGTCTTTGGAAACAATAATACTCTATTTCGATTCTGTAGTGCACACACGTACACATATGTAGTGGCTGAGTTGAATTGGATCTGTTATGTAGGAATGATTCTCAGTTTCTCACGCCTCGAATGGTCCTACTCAGTTGACCATCTTTTATGCTGGTTCAATGTTTGTTTACTCCAATGTATCTCCCGAAAAGGTAAATCCTCAAATTCTCTCAAGGATTTAGAGTTTCTGTGAATTTGGTAATTGGTATTGCAAGGGCTTAGTATGAGTGCGTTACTCGTGCAACAATATATATATATATATATATATATATATATATATATATATATATATATATATATATATATATATATTTCATTACGGAGGGATCCTTTGTAGTGAAATGAGAATTTTTTTTATTGACTGCGTCCAGTTTTCCGACCACCAAATTGGTCGAATTTCCGACTACTGGTGGTCGGAAAATTTGGATTCTGCCTGACTATTTTCTTGGCCGTTTTTTGCGACGGTCTTAGTAAAGTGGTCGCTATTTCCGACCACTCTCTCTGGTTGTCGAAAATAGCGTGGGGGATTTTTTCGGATACCCAAATTGGTCGGAAAAGAGGTCGGAACAGGCTTTTCCGACCTAATTAAGGCCATTTCCGACCACTTTTTGGTGGTCGGAAAATGACAAATTTCCAGCAGTGCTACTTACTCTCCTGTGTATACTGTTTATACCTGATAGTTTTACATCAATAATACAACATTTCATTTCCTTACATGGTATATATCTTTAGGAATATCTTTCTCATCCTGAAAACTGGACAACAATCCATCCATGAAGTCTTCTTCCAGTGGTTTAGATTTCGTATTTCTTTTCCTTTTATGCTCTCGTAGCCAACCTTCCACTACACTATCCATCTTTTTAGCTGTCTCCTTCATGGCCTTCTCATGTCCTCCTTATGTCGTCCAACCATCTTAGCCATGGCACATAATCACTCACAATAGGCACCCCCAGCAGATCAAATAATCTCCTCACCATCTCAACACTCCGGCTCCCTTCTTCCTCGTACTGCTGCCCGAAAAGCATCTGCATCGTGACGCCCATGATTAGTTTCCCAAACCACTTCTTCATGTCCAGCTTTACATCCCCGGATTCATTCTTGGCCCTCAGCCAGCTTCGGTGGATTTCTTGGGTAAATGATCCTACTCCCGGCCATTTCCCAAACCCGGCTGAGCACCTCCAGACGGCAGTTTGACAGCAGCTCGAGAACGACAACCTTGCGGACATGGCGCCCGTACTGACCGTACGGAACCAGCCCAAACATGGAGTAGTTGTATCCCATGATCTCCGTAGCTAAGGCCTTAGGCTGGCCAGCCAGCGCTCTGTCGTTGGTGGTAAAGCATTCTTTGGCGATTCGCAAGTTGTTGACCACCAAGACTTGATTTGCGCCTAGCTTTATTCGGAATATAGGCCCGTTTGTCTGCCATGTCGCCCAAGATTTTGAAGGGCGGTCGAGGGCATGCGAGGAGGTGGAGATGGCCTATTATAGGCCATGCGCCGCCAGCTTCAGGTGGTTTTCGGGTTGTTCCTTTGTGAAATAAGAGGTTGTAGAGAAAGGTGAGAAACAGAAAAGTTGTAGCCAAAGCTGCTACAAGGGCTAGCGGAGTGAAATCCATGGAGGTTTGAAGGTTGATTGCTTAGTGCTTACAAATACATACTTAACCTTGACTTTGACATCATATTTTAATCTTTATAAGCAATTAAAATAAATAAAGTTTATTAAATTTAATTCGATTTTTGGCCTGCAGAACAAATTAAAATTGGGACGTACGTCAATCTCTAATCTGCAGGTATCATTAATATATTAATATATTTATTCTAATTGTACGTGTTACACTTTGCTTTTGTTAGACGAAAAAAATTCATAATCACTATCTCACTACTCAATCATATATATTGAGATAAATCTAGCTAATATATAATAACCTATATATCACACAAAAAATATAAATTGCACTTAAAAGACGGTGTAAAGAACTCATTCCACTTTACTTTTGATCTACACATCATTTGGCATTTGGCACATCTAATAATTTAATATCACATGAATTTTTGTTTTAAACATTACACTTATTAATCTATTGCAGAAATGTTTTCCAAAAAAAAAAAAAAAAAATCTATTGCAGAAATTAGTATTATCAGAAGCTTAGTAGTTAATTAATCTACTAGCATGGATATTGTGTTTATTTGATCATATAGAAATGAACTGACTTGAATTGATGTCCACAACAATATAATATTCATATAACAAAAGCACAATATTCATCACACACAAACACGGAAATACATTAATGCTCGCAATTTTGGTATATCACTAGTTTATTGCAACTTAATTATAGAGATGTGAAGGCAGGCTTGGACTAAGGAAAACATAGAGTGGAGTTGCCTTCATATTCACTAGTCCACCACTCTCTGTCATGTCAATAAGTTCATCCGAAATCCTTTTTAAATCATAGCCATGAATAAGGCTAGCCAAGGTCAATTCCACAACTTGTAGTGCTAAAGAAATCCCTGGACATATTCTCCTTCCGCTGCCGAATGGAATGAGTTCAAAATGATTGCCCTTAACATCAATCTCCTTGTGTTCACTCATCAAGAATCTCTCTGGCCTAAACGCATTGGGGTCTGACCAAATTTTTGGATCTCGATGAATCTTTGAAACGTTCACCAATATTCGTGTACCCTTTCGGATTTTATAACCATTCACCACACAATCGTCTGTAGATTCATGTGGTAGTAAGAGAGGAGCAGCAGGATATAAACGTAAAGTTTCTTTCACAACTGCTCGAAGGTAAGTCAAGTTGTTTAGATCGAATTGGTTCACGTGCCTTTCCTTTCCAACATAAATGTCTAGCTCTACTCGGATATTCTTCAACACACTATAATTGTTCAATACTAGAGAGAGTGCCCAAGTTAACGTTACTATAATTGTATCCGTGGCCGCTGATAGCACCCCCTACCATAAAGATTACATAATAAAATAAATAACAACACATAATTTAGATAATTATTTCGTGTATTCAACTTGAATGAAACAATGTGTTGTATTGAGTTTGCAATAATTATCTTGTCATTATGTCTACTACATATAATAATAATAGCTAATGATGGTAAGGTTATTGATAAGTGCTTATTTGTCTATATTTTAGCCCTTTTCATTAAGTCATTTTGTTTATAGATTATTTCAAATTTCATGAGATTATGACTAAATTATGTTATTTTGCAAGAAGTTTGGTTTGGAAAGCTTTGAAAGCAAAGATAGTATTTGCATGCATTTTTGTGGGCATTGGAGTCAAATGAAGCGTTTTGGATGCATTAGGAATCCATGGGAGCCAAGGAGAAGCTGAGAGAATGGATAAAACACATCCAAGGGAGCCTAAGAGTGGTGTTTTCAATGGTCTTGGTCTTTGGTCAAACCAAAGCGAAAGAGAAGACAAAGATCAAGGCATTGTAATTCCCGCACTGCACGTCGACGTCTTAGTATTTGGACCATATCTCAGCCTAGAATTGTTCCGTTGCAGAAAGGCTCTCGATGCATCAAGAATGGGCAGAAAGCTCCCATTTGTGTTCTCGAAATGCTCGACGCGTCGAGGCCCCCCAGATTTGCAGTTTCCAACCTGCCTCCTATTTAAGTCGGTTTTCACTCATTTCTCCATGGTTTTGACCTATGTTCAAATCCTAGTCTTTTTCTTTCACTTCCTTTCATATTTCTAGGTTAGATTAGGCTTAGATTTAGGTTCCTAAACATATATATTTGAAGCTTGTAATCAAGGATTCAACACTTAGATTCTAAGACTTACCAACCATTTCACTAGAGAAGTTTTCTTTCTCTTATCTCTTTTCCTATGCATTAGTGTTTATGTTTATTACTTATGTTTTTGTGGTCTTTATGCTATTTAATCATGAGTAGTTAGTTTTTGAACTTGTGTTAGGGTTGTATTATTTATCTTGATACTTAATTTGTGATTATTGCAAAAAGGGGAAGAACTCTAACCTAGGGTTCATGAGTTTATGAAGGATTTGTGTTTGTATATTGTTAATGCTTGGTGTACAACATTCATTAGCATGTTTTGGAGGATTTTTTGCCCCAATGAGAGTTGGGTCAAGATTCCAAGCCACTTCTTGCATAAACCCAATTTCTTCCTATGAAAATAGGGAAAATTTGGGGGCTTTGATGTTTAGTGTGCTTAAAGAACTTAGAGTTGATGCATCATGAGAGTGAGGCAATTCCTTGTTCTAATCCTTGTTTATTGATCACAAGAATGACTTTTAGACTAGGATTCCTACGTGCATCCCCTCTATCCCTTGGTTGTGTGATTCTCCCCCAATCCTTAGGTTGTATTTTGAATCTAGATTATAATGCTCACTAGCTTGAGTCATATTTCTTTATTTCGTGTTTATATTGTGTTAATATGTGTTTGTGTTACTTTGTTTAGTTATTGTAGCCTTAAAACTTGTTATGAATTGATTAGCTTCCTGTGCATTTCGTGAGATTAGTGTCTAGCTGCTTATGATTGCATATTACGTGACTACGTGCCAGAACCCCCAATCCCCTGAGGACGATATAAAACACTCAAGCT